CCAGGGTGCTGAGACCCCAAAATTCCCTAAAAAATCCCAAAAAAACCCCCAAAAATTCCCAAAAAAATTCCAAAAAATTCCAAAAAAATCCCAAAAACCCCCCAAAAAATCCCTAAAAATTCAAAAAAATTCCCGGAAAAAATCCCCAAAAAATCAAAAAAAAATCCCTAAAAATTCCAAAAAAATTCCAAAAAATTCCAAAAAATTCCCAAAATTCCCAGAATTCCAGAATTCCCGGAATTCCCAAATTCCCACCTGGAGCTGGGAATCCCTGGCGGCCTCGGCGCATGCCAGGGCGCTCAGACCCCAAAATTCCCTAAAAAATCCCCAAAAAATCCCAAAAAATTCCCAAAAAATCCCTAAAAATTCCCTAAGAATTCCAAAAAATTCCCCAAAATTCCCAGAATTCCCGGAATTCCCACCTGGAGCCGGGAATCCCTTGGCGCATCTAAAAATTCCCTAAGAATTCCAAAAAATTCCCCAAAATTCCCAGAATTCCCGGAATTCCCACCTGGAGCCGGGAATCCCTTGGCGCATCCCAGGGTGCTCAGACCCCAAAATTCCCTAAAAAATCCCAAAAAAATCCCCAAAAAATCAAAAAAAAATCCCAAAAAATAGAAAAAAAATCCCTAAAAATTCCCTAAAATTCCCAGAATTCCCGGAATTCCCGGAATTCCCACCTGGAGCCGGGAATCCCCGGCGGCCTCGGCGCATGCCAGGGCGCTCAGACCCCAAAATTCCCTAAAAAATCCCAAAAAATCCCAAAAAAATCCCTAAAAATTCCCTAAAAATTCTAAAAAATCCCTGGAATTCCCAGAATTCCCGGAATTCCCACCTGGAGCCGGGAATCCCCAGCAGCCTCGGCGCATCCCAGGGCGCTCAGACCCCAAAATTCCCTAAAAAATCCCAAAAAATCCCAAAAAAAATCCCCAAAAAATAAAAAAAAAAATCCCAAAAAATTCCAAAAAAATCCCTAAAAATTCTAAAAAATCCCTAAAAATTCCCAGAATCCTTGGAATTCCGGAATTCCCACCTGGAGCCGGGAATCCCCGGTGGCCTCGGCGCATCCCAGGGCGCTCAGACCCAAAAATTCCCTAAAAATTCCCAAAAAATCCCAAAAAAATCCCCAAAAAACCCCAAAAAATCCCCAAAAAATCCCCAAAAATTCAAAAAAATTCCCTAAAAATCCCTGGAATTCCCAGAAATCCCGGAATTCCCACCTGGAGCCGGGAATCCCCGGCAGCCTCGGAGCATCCCAGGGCGCTCAGACCCCAAAAATCTCTAAAAAATCAAAAAAAACCCCAAAGAATTCCCTAAAAAATCCCAAAAAATCCCCAAATATTCCCTAAAAAATCCAAAAAAATTCCCAAAAATTCCCAAAAATCTGAAAATTCCCGGAATTCCCACCTGGAGCTGGGAATCCCCAGCGGCCTCAGCGCATCCCAGGGCGCTCAGACCCCAAAATTCCCAAAAATTCCCAAAAAATCCCAAAAAAATCCCTAAAAATTCCCAAAAAATTCTAAAAAATCCCTGGAATTCCCAGAATTCCCAAATTCCCAAATTCCCACCTGGAGCCGGGAATCCCCGACGGCCTCGGCGCATCCCAGGGCGCTGAGACCCCAAAAATCCCTAAAAAATTCCAAAAAAATCCCCAAAAAATCAAAAAAAAATCCCAAAAAATCCCTAAAAATTCCCTAAAAATTCTAAAAAATTCCCAAAAAATCCCAGAATTCCCGGAATTCCCACCTGGAGCCGGGAATCCCCGGCGGCCTCGGCGCATCCCAGGGTGCTGAGACCCCAAAAATCCCAAAAAATCCTTAAAAAATCCCAAAAAATCCCTGAAAATTCCAAAAAATTCCAAAAAAATCCCAAAAAAATCCCCAAAAAATCCCTAAAAATTCCCTAAAAAGTCTAAAAAATCCCTAAAAATTCCCAGAATCCCCGGAATTCCCGGAATTCCCACCTGGAGCCGGGAATCCCCGGCGGCCTCGGCGCATCCCAGGGCGCTGCGGAGCGGGGGCAGGATCTGATCCGGGGCCGATCCCAAATCCTCCAGAGCCAGAGCCACGTTCAGCCACGTCCGGCATTCCTGGGAATGCGGGAATGCGGGAATTGCGGGAATTCTGGGAATTGCGGGAATTCCGGGAATTCTGGGAATTGCGGGAATTCTGGGAATTCTGGGAATTGCGGGAATTCTGGGAATTCTGGGATTCGGGATTTGGGATCGGGAATTATTTGGGAATTTGGGATTGGGAATTTGGGGATTTGGGGATTTGGGCATTTGGGATTTGGGGTCAGGAATTTGGGAATTTGGGGATTTGGGAATTTGGGAATTTGGGATTTGGGGATTTGGGGATTTGGGATCAAGAATTATTTGGGAATTTGGGGATTTGGGGATTTGGGAATTTGGGGATTTGGGAATTTGGGAATTTGGGATTTGGGGATTTGGGATCGGGAATTTGGGGATTTGGGAATTTGGGATTTGGGGATTTGGGGATTTGGGAATTTGGGGATTTGGGAATTTGGGATTTGGGGATTTGGGGATTTGGGAATTTGGGGATTTGGGATCGGGAATTTGGGGATTTGGGAATTTGGGGTCAGGAATTTGGGAATTCGGGGATTTGGAATTGGTATCGGGAATTATTTGGGGACTTGGGAATTTGGGATTTGGGATTTGGGAATTTGGGGATTTGGGAATTTGGGGATTTGGGAGTTTTGGGTCGGGAATTTGGGAATTTTGGGTCGGGAATTATTTGGGGATTTGGGATTTGGGGATTTGGGGATTTGGGGATTTTGGGTCAGGAATTTGGGGATTTGGGATCAGGAATTATTTGGGAATTTGGGGATTTGGGATCGAGGATTTGGGATCGGGAATTCAGGATTGGAGGTTTGGGAATTCGGGGATTTGGGGATTTGGGATCAGGAATTATTTGGGAATTTGGGGATTTGGGATCAGGGATCGAGGATTTGGGATC